ATTCTCACAGACGTTCAGGTGTCACATTGGCCACAACCAGGTTTATTACATTTCCAGCAGCGAACAAAACATTAAAATGAAGCCTCTGCACAGTTCAGAACCCTCTCTCGCTGTGAAATGGACCTTGTGTCCTGCACCACAAAATAAAAATCCTATTACTTACAATGCTGCCACCACATAGTCTCTGCAGACCAACACAGCCTGTGTCTTGCCCTATGGTTCATGAGGCTGTATATGTGGTTGTGCTATATGATGAATGAACATTACCAAAGAAACAAAACTTTGAAAAGGCGCTCATCATAATTTTTAAAGGAGAACTATGGTGTCAGGGCTTTTCCCCATAGTTCTCCTCAGGGTAACGGGAGGACACAAACTAGCGTCCTCCCGCCACCCTAGGCTCAGTATATAGGGAGCTACAGCTCGCGGTATACTGAGACGCCACAGCTGAACCGGACATCGATGTCGGGATCCGCCCAGCTGCGTGAGTGACAGCTGGCTCTGCCTATCTAGAGGCAGAGCCAGCTGTACCCGCCCCCGTCCGTTCCGCCAGTCAGCGCTGGAGGATCGGAGCGGGGAGGGGGGAATCCAGCCCCTCCCCTGTCACGGCAGAGAGCCGTGACAGGATCGAGAGGTGAGCGAACGCCGGTATGTATTCGCTCACCTCCCGATCTACTGAGCCGACCTGTGACAGTCTCATTGTCACAGGTCGGCTAGAACTATGAGGTGAGTGAAAAGCCCCTCCCCCTCATAGTTCTCCTTTTAAGTTGTGAGGAAACATGGTCCAAAGAGGTGGCAATGTTTCGGACCCTTATTGGTTCGGGATCGAAACAACAGGGTGGAAGACAATTCCGGATGCACGGTTCCCGGATTCTTTGTGCATCGTGTCATGGAGTTTAGCAGTGAGATCTTCATACACTCACACTGTGTGTAAACGGGCTTTCGTCTCGGATAGACACTTTAATTTCAAACATTTTGAACAAAATACAAATATTTGGGGCGCAGGAAACGTGCAAATACAACTGTAATAATTCTGAATGATTCTATAAAATGATGCAATGTGTTCAGCCCAGAGCCATAGATAGTGTCCTCCACGACGGGTGACGAACAGTGTTGTCTTCTCTGTTCCCAGGTGGTGGGAGATCTGATGGTGAGAATCCAGCGGATCCCGGACTTCACACCAAAGCTTCTGCTTGTAAGGAAGAGGTTGCTGGGGTTAGAGCCGGACGGACCGATGTAAGATTCCGTGATATCAAATGTTCTGTTATAATGTTACCGGACGTATTCTGTGCGCTTACAATGTCGGCATTTCAGTATTGCTGATTAAACCTGTACAGCGCTGCGGTATATGTCAGAGCTATAGAAATGTATAATAATAGTGTGTGACTGAGGGGGGACATTAGAGTGTAAGCTTCTCTGTGCAGAGACTGATGTGACTGTGGGGGGGGATATTAGAGTGTAAGCTCCTCTGTACAGAGACTGATGTGACTGTGGGGGAGGGGACATTAGAGTGTAAGCTCCTGTGGCGCAGAGATTGGTGCGTTCTCTCTGTCTCACCGATTCTTTCTTCTTCTTCCAGAGTTGACCACATGACCCTCTTAGAAGGAGTGATTGTCCTGGAGGAGTTCTGTAAGGAACTAGCCGCCATCGCCTTCGTCAAGTTTCACAGCTCTTCCACCCCTTGATGTCATCGCCGCCCTCTGATGACGTCACACCTACGAGACCAAATCTGTTTTTTTATTTGTTTTTAATCGTTGTGGAAGGACCTCAATCATGGAAAGAAGGGAATATTGACGAAAGTCTGTAGAGGTGCCCGGCGCTCGGTCGCGGCTCTCGCCTCCTCCCACGAGGGCCCGACAACCCGTGACTAAGGGCGGAGCCGCCCCTCGTTATGCAGGAGACACTTCACCGATCATCTCTTCCGTTACATTCGAGTGTTTTACAGAACTTTTTATCGTTGCCGCGGATACTCCTCCGTCTGTCCGACGCACATGGGAAAAGAATTTGTGTTGTTTTCATTGTCTCGGAGTCACGTGACTTTGCCGATGGCGCGGAAGGGGTTAATCCTGCCGGCGTTTACATTACAGCGCGGTAAATGGAAGCGAGCGCTATTACCGCGTTCGTCGTCGTTAAAACGTTTACTTGGCTTTAAGGTGCGCGGAGCCCGGAGCTGGCGGCTTCATTGCAAAAAAAAAATGTAAAAAGTTTAAAAATGCATTTTTTATAATTAAACCCGCGCCGACGCGAAATCCTCTCACTTTTATTTTTGTTGCGCTTTACAAACTTTTGTTCTTTTAATGTTAATGTTGCAAATGTTGTCTTTTTTTTTGCGATGTAAGGCGTGTAAAAAGATAATATATTTCAGGAGGGGGAGACGAGTGGAACGTTCGAGGCCGGGGACGGTGTCTTATTTTATCATTATATTCTGTATATATGTATTGTATGAATTGTATTATACATGCATATAAAGCTTCTCCCTTCAAGGAGGCCGTTCACGTTCAAGGCGATTGTCTGCGCTCATTTCCTGACTGCTGCCATAAGTGTTTGTTATAAAGAGGACCTGTCGTGTGGAGGTGTGCCTAAGGAAAGGCATTGGGGAGAAGCAGAATAACAGCGCTGGACCCGCAAGGTCTTATTCTATCCTCCGATCGGGATGGGAAGAGTCAATGTACACTATATTACCAAAAGTACGCCGCACACGAGCAGGGGGAGGACGTCTTAAGACGCCCTCCCGCTCCTATAAGGCTCCCGTCCGGCCGTTCAGGAACGCCCATGGACGGGAGGTGGTTAAATGTATTTTACACTATATTGCCATAAGTATTGGGACGCCTTTACACGCACATGAACTTTAATGGCATCCCAGTCTTCGTCCGTAGTGTTCAGTATTGGGTTGGCTCCGCCCTCTAATGGCATCCCAGTCTTAGTCCGTAGGGTTCAGTATTGGGTTGGCTCCGCCCTCTAATGACCCCCCAGTCTTAGTCCGTAGGGTTCAACACCACTTCCTGGGAGAGTTGCTGGTGTTCCCAGTTCCACTTTGTTATGATCCCAGTAACAGGCGACCGCGGCGGAATATTTAGTAGCCGGGAAATGTCACGGACGGACTTATTGCACAGGTGACAACCTATCACGGCACCACGCTTGTAGTCACCGAGCTCCTGAGAGCGACCCGTTCTCTCACCAATGTCTGTAGAAGCGTCTGCATGCCGAGGTGCTTCGTTCTACACACCGGGGGCCATGGAGGGGATTGGAGGAACACCTGAATCACATGATTTGGAGGGGGAGGGGCCCAGTACTTTTGGCAATATAGTGTACATCCCAGGTGATCTCCACTCTCCTCGGTTTGTGATGTCAAGCTGCAAGATTGTGAATGGAAGTGACGCGCTGCAATCATAAAAAAGCTCCGGGAAATACTTTTATGAACCCTTTGTGTTGGCACTGCGACGGTTAACTGCTGCTTTGGGTCTAGGGAGGAAGATAGCAAAGCTGATCCTCCCAGCCGTGACTCCGGCTCCTGCCGGTCTCTTCCTACGCTCCAGCAATGGTATGTCCCTCACGGCCTATACACTGTGTATAGAATGTGATGACTCGGGGAGCTTAGACCACTGCAGCGGCGGGGGAGATCCACGGACCGGTCTTAGAGCAGGCCGGATGGGAGGATCATGGGACTATAAAGTTTTTTTATTTTCCTCCCTAGACCAAAACGAGCAGTTAAAGGAGAACTATGAGGTCAGTGTTTTTCCCCCATAGTTCTCCTTAGGGTAACGGGAGGACACAAACTAGCGTCCTCCCGTCACCCTAGGCTCAGTATATAGGGAGCTACAGCTCGCGGTATACTGAGACGCTGAAGCGGATCCCGACAATTGTGCTGGGATCCGCCCAGCTGCGTGAGTGACAGCTGGCTCTGCCTATCCAAAAGCGGAGCCAGCTGTACCCGCCCCCTCCCCCGTCCGTTCCGCCAGTCAGCGCTGGAGGATCGGAGCGGGGAGGGGGGAATCCAGCCCCTCCTCTGTCACGGGCAGAGAGCCGTGACAGGATTGAGAAGTGAGCGAACGCCGGTATGTGTTCCCTCACCTCCCGATCTACTGAGCCGTAGACTTGTGCGCCGTCCAAAAATTTGTTCTGTTTCGTTTCGGAATATCCGTTATTTCGTAATTCGTAACTGAACTCAATTCGGATTCGTACAAAATACGGATTTTCGTTAATGGCGGTTATATTTTCGTAACTGTACGAACATTCGTTATGATGAAGTTAACCAGTTGACATCCGAGACAAGGATTAAATAAAGTTCTTCTTTATAGTCCCGCTCCATCTTCATAGTTGCGGTGAGGGGGATAGTACCGGATATCCACTGTCGGGGCTTACTAGCATGTATTAGGACTGTGGTGACTTGGATTTGTCCAGCGTGTGAGGAGGCACAGAGCTCTTCAGCAGCTGATTCGGCCATTTTGGATTTTGTGGAGCCGGGTGGTGCTGACAGGGCCGACCATGGACCTAATTGTGGCCCGTTCAGCAGGAATCGGAGGAAATTCAGAGGTTTCTGCTTTGTCTGATTCCAGCGTGGGACATAAGGTCCGTCAGGCTGCTCTTGGAGCTGCGAGCAGTCCCTAGTTACTCGGTCTGCCTGCTTTTGGATGTCCAGAAGACTTTCCGTGTCCCTCAAAGGATAAGAAAAAAAAATAGATTTTTTTGTATTTCCCTTAAAATCCTTCTCTAAGAGTCCACCGAGGGGCCACAGTTCCCACCCCTCTATGTTTTTGATCCCGCTCTTGGTACTGCTTTGATACAAAACTGGGGCATTGCTGGTAGTAGGAGGGATTATACCCTGGGGTGTCGTTGTCCTATCCTCCTGTAGGCGGCAGTATAACCCGAAGGTTTAGGACTTCCTGTGTTCCTCAATGGACTCCAAGAAACGTATTATATGGCGAGTATAAAGATCCCATTATTCCACACGAGGAGATATGTTATAGAACGAACAATCTCTAGTTATGGCTCGCAATGTATTTCTATTACGCGGCCAAAGTTCTGAAAATCCAACGCACGGTTACATGGGTCAGGTGACCATTAAACACGCTCGCTGTCTCTCCTCTTCTTGAGTGTCTTTTAGGCCGGGCACACACCTTACAACCATCGCTAGATTTTTGTCTTGCAATGGTTGTAAGGTACTTAAAAAAAACGTACGATCTGCCCATCTTGCACAGGCAGATCGTACTTGCGATGATCGCAAGCCACGCCCCCCTGAGGGGCGAGCTTCCGATGATCGCAATGCCTAACGGGCAGCGTGCGCTTGCGCACACCGGCCCGTCCGGCTGTTATCTTACGAACATGCTACACACCATCGTACGATGCTCGGCGGGTTTTCAAACCTTACAGTAGCAGAGGTCGCACGGCTTCCATACACCTTACGGTAATCGTACGATCGCGGGATTTCCCGCCATTATCGTAAGGTGTGTGGGGACCTTTTAGTTGTTTCATTCAGAAATATATGTTTGTACCTCTTCTCACTACAGAAAACTTCCTGAGTCTTTGCTAAATCCCCACTCAGGTCCCCCTGGCTGTCGGTCAGCAGCTCTGACTGTCACTTTTATTACTTCCTCTATATATCTGGATACTCAAAAGTCACCCAACCGTCACTTGTATAGCCTTTGTTTGCATCATGTGGCTCTTTGTATTCCCCGTACGAGTCTATGAATCGGGTCAAATACCCCGTTAGTGAGTCCTAAATGATCCTAAAAGCCAAATCAGACTGATTTCATGGTCACGAGCCCGGAGCAGATGTTGGAACGGTGATTAGAGGGAGGCTGGCGGCCATTTTTAGTGGACAATGGGATGTGTCCACAGAGCAGCATTGCCTTCTGTTCTCCTATGGAAGGCTACAGAAGTATAATCCTCCTGTCCCATCGCACTCCTGACCGGACAAAAACCCAAATCCAACTGGGTGGGTGCGGTAGGCACGTGGTATTTACTGCACATAAAATGGTGGCAAAGATGACGGGAGAAAAATATTCTGTATTAAAAAAAAAAGTCTTGCAGAAAATGTTTTTGTTTTCTAAATGTGGACTTAGGGTTCATTTCCTGATCGCTGGGGGAGGCGACTCTCTATGTGAGCTGCTCCAATCCTTGAGCTCTGCCTTCTGCTCACACAGCCCTCTGGTGTCTGGAGGGGAATCTATGACACTGCTTAACAAAGGCACAGAGCTGCTTCCTAGCTGTGTCAAAGCTCCTCCCTCCGATTTGAGTCACAGCTCCACCCCCCTTTGTGAGTCAGAGCTGTTCCCTCCCACCTAAGTCAAAGCTTCTCCCTCCTGTCTGTGTCAGCTCCTCCCTTCTAAGTCATAGCTCCTCCCTCCAATCTGTGTCAGAGCTCCTCCCTCCTGTCTGTGTCAGCTCTACTCCCTCCCAAATAAATAAGAGCTCCTCCCATCGGAGTCAGAGCTCCCCCTCCTGTCTGTGTCAGCTCTACTCCCAAATAAAACAAAGCCCCTCCCATCGGGGTCAGTGCTTCTCCCTCCTGTCTGTGTCAGCTCTACTCACTCCCAAATAAATCAGAGATCCTCCCATTGGAGTTAGTGCTTCTCCCTCCTGTCTGTGTCAGCTTCTCCCTTCTAAGTCATAGCTCCTCCCTCCAATCTGTGTTAGAGCTCCTCCCTCCGGTCTGTGTCAGCTCTACTCCCTCCCAAATAAATAAGCTCCTCCCATCGGAGTCTGTGCTCCGGTCTGGGTCAGAGCTCCTTCCTCCTAAGTCATAGCACCTCCCTCCAATCTGTCAGAGCTCCTCCCCCATGGTTGTGTCATCTCCTCCCTCTTCGTTGGGTGTGTCAGAGCTCCTCCCTCCTCTCTGGATCAGAGCTCCTCCCTCATGGTTGTCTCGTAGCTCCTCCCTCTTAGTTGTGTCAGAGCTCCTCCCTCTCGGTTGTGTCAGAGCTCCTCCCTCCTGTCTGTGTCAGAACTCCTCCCTCCTGTCTGTGTCAGAGCTCCTACCTCCTGGTTGTGTCAGAGCTCCTCCCTCTTAGTTGTGTCAGAACTCCTCCCTCCTGGCTGTGTCAGAGCATGCCTTAGTAGTGGGATGAAATATCCTCTGTGCAAAGATTAAAGAAGATGTTGGTGTTGGAGGGGGAGGAGAACATTGCAGAATGGACATGAAATGAGGACAATTGTTGCTGATTTCATAGCCATGGCAATCTCTCCGGCATATTATATACGGCAATCCTAGCTGGACACATCATTATAAATGGACTTTAGGATTTGGGAGTACACTGTACACCCCCCCAAAAAAAAAAGTTCAGTACAGCACTTAGGGTGAGCCCTGTATGCTGTGCACCTCCCCCCACGCTGCTGCTCCTCCCCCACAAGTCCAAGAGAGGTGGAAGGAGTTTTTATCAGGGATCATTTTAAGCCCATTGTACCTCAAAATCCAATTTGTCAAAATTGTAAAATTTTTAAAAAAACTTTTCAGAAGTGAAAACTCTCCACAAATGATGATGAATATCGGCTCCGGGGGGATCTATAGAGGGGGGTGATCGGGGGGGGGTCATTGGCGAATCAGCATGTTTTTTGGGATGTCCTGGTACATTGCCCACCTCGGAGTGAGGTCTCCATTGTATGTTCATGACACGTGACAGCGACATGTAACATTGTATCAATCTTCAGGAAACAATATCAATGATCAGGAAATGGGAGAGTTTTGGTGTTCTCCGGAATGATGGCGGAAACTTCCGGCTCAGAGGATCCATTGCTAAAAAAATGATTTGTGCCGAAGATCTGCGATGAACGAATTACTGACCCACAACATTCACCTTATTCTACGGGGCAGAAGATACAAAAACATTTGATCTCATTTTTATTTTTTGTTTCTCCTCAGGGGTCCCAGCGAGAGGTGTAATATGGAACAGCAAAGCAGCCGTCCCAGCGGGAGGTGTAATATGGAACAGCAAAGCAGCCGTCCCAACGGGAGGTGTAATATGGAACAGCGGAGCTCACAGAGTAACGGGAGCCATTGCGTCCTCTTTCTGCGGTGAAAACTACATCTCCCAGAATCCACCGGGAGCCTGGGCTCCTACTGATGATGTCAGAGCTGTGCTGCCTCCAGGAGGAGAAGGCATGGCTGCTGCAGAGAAGGCTGGAAGGCTCCTGTCCCTGAATGGGCTCTTCCCCGTCTACAAACCTAAAGGGCCCACGTCGGCCAAGAGCCTGAACGAGCTGAAGAGGAGGCTGCTGGGAGGTGTGAGGGGGAGGGGTGCAATGTTATCTGTATGTATCTTTTCCTATGTACCTTCCTGTATGACCCCTTCACATGTTGTATGTTGTAGTAACACGCAGCAATGCCCGCTACATGCGTTAGTGTGGTACTGAGAGACAACGCATCATAATTTACCACTGAGCACCGCATCAGAAAGGTGGAGGTGCGTCCTACAGGTGGAGGTGTGTCCTAGTGCGCTGAGAGCCAATTCAACACGACCTGTCCAGGAATACAGGGGCCCACATCTGTACCCGTCCACTATGAGGGGCCCCCACCATCCCTGTGCTGAGTTCCTGGGTCTGTCCACCCGCTGTGCCCATTATGAGGGGCTCCCACCATCCCTGTGCTGAGTCGCCGGGTCTGTACACCCGCTGTACCCATTATGAGGAGCTCCCACCATCCCTGTGCTGAGTCGCCGGGTCTGTACACCCGCTGTACCCATTATGAGGAGCTCCCACCATCCCTGTGCTGAGTCGCCGGGTCTGTACACCCGCTGTACCCATTATGAGGAGCTCCCACCATCCCTGTGCTGAGTCGCCGGGTCTGTACACCCGCTGTACCCATTATGAGGAGCTCCCACCATCCCTGTGCTGAGTCGCCGGGTCTGTACACCCGCTGTACCCATTATGAGGAGCTCCCACCATCCCTGTGCTGAGTCGCCGGGTCTGTACACCCGCTGTACCCATTATGAGGAGCTCCCACCATCCCTGTGCTGAGTCGCCGGGTCTGTACACCCGCTGTACCCATTATGAGGAGCTCCCACCATCCCTGTGCTGAGTCGCCGGGTCTGTACACCCGCTGTACCCATTATGAGGAGCTCCCACCATCCCTGTGCTGAGTCGCCGGGTCTGTACACCCGCTGTACCCATTATGAGGAGCTCCCACCATCCCTGTGCTGAGTCGCCGGGTCTGTACACCCGCTGTACCCATTATGAGGAGCTCCCACCATCCCTGTGCTGAGTCGCCGGGTCTGTACACCCGCTGTACCCATTATGAGGAGCTCCCACCATCCCTGTGCTGAGTCGCCGGGTCTGTACACCCGCTGTACCCATTATGAGGAGCTCCCACCATCCCTGTGCTGAGTCGCCGGGTCTGTACACCCGCTGTACCCATTATGAGGAGCTCCCACCATCCCTGTGCTGAGTCGCCGGGTCTGTACACCCGCTGTACCCATTATGAGGAGCTCCCACCATCCCTGTGCTGAGTCGCCGGGTCTGTACACCCGCTGTACCCATTATGAGGAGCTCCCACCATCCCTGTGCTGAGTCGCCGGGTCTGTACACCCGCTGTACCCATTATGAGGAGCTCCCACCATCCCTGTGCTGAGTCGCCGGGTCTGTACACCCGCTGTACCCATTATGAGGAGCTCCCACCATCCCTGTGCTGAGTCGCCGGGTCTGTACACCCGCTGTACCCATTATGAGGAGCTCCCACCATCCCTGTGCTGAGTCGCCGGGTCTGTACACCCGCTGTACCCATTATGAGGAGCTCCCACCATCCCTGTGCTGAGTCGCCGGGTCTGTACACCCGCTGTACCCATTATGAGGAGCTCCCACCATCCCTGTGCTGAGTCGCCGGGTCTGTACACCCGCTGTACCCATTATGAGGAGCTCCCACCATCCCTGTGCTGAGTCGCCGGGTCTGTACACCCGCTGTACCCATTATGAGGAGCTCCCACCATCCCTGTGCTGAGTCGCCGGGTCTGTACACCCGCTGTACCCATTATGAGGAGCTCCCACCATCCCTGTGCTGAGTCGCCGGGTCTGTACACCCGCTGTACCCATTATGAGGAGCTCCCACCATCCCTGTGCTGAGTCGCCGGGTCTGTACACCCGCTGTGCCCATTATGAGGGGCCCCCACCATCCCTGTGCTGAGTTCTGGTCATGTGATGTCTTCCAGAAGCCGGTCTGAAGGAATTGGGGAAGAAGAGGAAGCAGACGATAAAGATTGGACACGGGGGGACTCTGGACAGTTCGGCTTGCGGCGTGCTGGGTGAGCAGCTGATAATGAGATTGTATGATATGTATTCAGCTATGGGGGGGGGGGGGGGGCATGTTTGTGT